AAAAAAAAAATTAAAATTTTAATTATTTTTTTTAAAAGGAGGTGTACTTATAAAAAAAAGGAGGTGTATATATCATCAACCTAGAAAAAATAATATAGGCCCAGACAAGTGAAAACCAGATTTGGCCCATTAGGGGTTAATGAGAACCTTAACAAGTTTAAAATTATAAAGATGATCATGGTCTCCAATACGTCAAATCAAAAATAGACTTCTCTCTTTCTCCCTACCTGAAGAGAAACATCTAAGTCCCGTTACTTCTGCTTAGACAGAGAAAATAATACTGTGCATCTATCACAATTTGAATTTCAATGAATTATAACACCTATTCTCACATTATTAATATTTTATATAAAATGTTATTTTCATCAATTAAACTATATAAAAGTAATTATATTTTAATAAAATTAAACAGTAATAAACTGATAATTAAACTACTTTTATTTTCATAAATTTTAATATATATATATATATATATATATATCATGTTAATTTAGAATAAACGAAATTCAAGGTAATAGAAATAAATAAGTAATTTGATTTCTAAATTATTTAGTTTGTTATGAAGAACCATGTACCAAAAAAGATAATGCATTAAATTAGTAAATACGAGTATATACATGTTAATTAATAATTTAACATACACACTTTTTAATTGAAATTGAAAATTAAAATTCCAAGTAGATTATACTTAAAAATCATTTTATTATTTTATATTAAATAATTTATTATTTGTTAATATCATCCATTTATAAATATTTTTAATTAATTAATTAATTACTAGTATTAAAAATTAAAATATAGAGGTGAATTTTGTAATGTAATATTATTCTCCATTATTTGTCTCTTAATATTTATTTTGTTGAATATATGAATTTATCATGTCCCTTTCTTTTAATACTAAAATTAAAAAAATAATTATATCCTTTAAAACTTATCTTTAAGTATCTCAATATTATTATTCACTAATTATTATTTTTAGATTCAAACAAGGAGCCTAAATTACCACAACCAATTTCTTCCTCATATGAAAAAATTCATTGTAAGTACAAACAAACAACTATCTAAGAAATCAAAAGATGGATCATTATCAAATAAAAAAGTTCATTCAAGGAGAAAGACATATATACAAATTTTTGACAAATCATCATATGAAGAGCCAATTCTAATTCAAAGTTGGGTTGGACTCTGCTCTCTGAAAATGAAGGAGTTTTAGAATTTGGTGTGTTGGTATGTTACCCGTGAACCCTCCGTCACCCCCTGGCGCCACCGTCACTTTCCACGGCCGCTTTGATGTCCTCTCCCTCTCCGCCACACTCCTCCTCCACGACTCGCCGGCATTCGCAGTCTCCGCCTTTGCCCGCTCGCTGGCTCGCAGAGAGGGAAGAAACAGAAAGATTCCAAAAAAAAAAAAACGTGAACTTCATATTAACCATTTATCTCACGTAGATGTGAATTTTAAATAATTACAAAATTATAAATGAATTGGATTTATACGTAAGTCACGTTACAGTACCGGTACCCTTCTTTTATTCAGAGGACCGTAGAAATTCTCCCAAAAAAAAAGGGGCACGCTTTATCTGTTTGGGAAGGTACTTAATTATTTTAATAATTTTCAATTTAAATTCATAATTCATGATGCTACACGTGCTATTCTTTTATCCCACAAGATTTTGGTCTCTATGCTGCTAATGTTTCTTTGACATGGCCAGTGTCAGATGATATGGTGAAGTTAATTTTTATTTTTTTGAAACTTGATTTGTTTTTTGAATCGATAGGTCAAAACAGGTGATTCGTATCAGAGTTGTTGTGTTATTGTTGAGAACATGCAGAGATGTGTCTATGCAGTTCCAAGCCATCCTTTGCATCGTACTGAAGTGATGATGAGTCTCGATAGAGATGTCCAGGAGTCTCGCATTTCTTCTACAGATTTCTATAAAAAGTTGCATGTAAGCTTTTACTTTGTTTATCTCTTTGCATCGTTATATAACTTTTTGCTTTTCTTTTTTATTTAGTTTGACCTTTAATTTTTCCGTGTTTTTCTCTTAGCTTGGGTTTGATACGTTTTGTTCTGTCCTATGTTTTGCTAGGATGTGGTGAATGATGTTAAGAATGAGATAGCACAACTTCTCGTGAATTTAGGAGTTTCCAACTTTAGCATGACGCCTGTTAAGGTTTGCTGATTAGATCTTTTCAGATGTTTTGTAGTGTATAAAAGAGTTTTGATGGTTTTGCGCCAAGTAGATTTATTCATGTTTTTTCATTCTGAGTCCTTGCTCATTTTTGCAGAGGAAAGATGCATTTGAACGATCTGAAATACCTACAGGTGAAAATTATTCATTCAATCTACAAATTAAACAGATCCTGCATATTCACCCACCCAAAGAGGCAACGATCCCTGATCTTCTGTGCTTTTAAGGCTGCCGGATCTATCATTGGCCTAATTTTGATCAACTCTTTCTCTATTGGTATTCTAAATTTTGCCTCCATCTGAAAGAGTAATTCACCAGAAAAATAAGATTAAACAGTATCTTCATTCAAAAGAATTTACTTTAAATAGACTCGAGGCAATAAGTATAAAAAGTAAAATAATATTCCTATTTACTTGATAAGACATGCCTATGACATTTAAACAAAGTTATTAAAGAAATCAGACATTTTAATAATTAGATTTTTTATTTTTTATTTATTAAATATTCTATTTATTTAAACAAATAGAACATTTTTTTTTATATTTTCGTATTTAAACATATTTGTTTATTTTGTAGATGAGAAGGAAAAGAATGAAAAACATTGAAAGAAACAAATGGAGAGCTTGGAGAAACATCAAGAGAGAAAAAGAAATTTAGTTAACTTTTAACGTTTAGCATGAAATTTCACGCTTAGCGTCAATGTTGCGTAGAGTGATTTAATTTCTCATGTTTTGCACAAAATTCCATGTTCAACACTAAAGTGTTGATCTATCTTAATGAGAAAAGACAAAAGGGTTATGACTTAAAATTGGGGTAAATTTGAAGATAACAACATTAAGAAACATTTCTCAGAGTGCGTATAGCGACCATAGAATTCTCATGATTTCCAGATCAAGATTTTTCCTTTCTTTACCATTTTTGTTGTGTTTCATGTTTGTGTGTAATTAAGTTTACCCTTGTTGGGGGTTTGGTGTAACTATACATATTCTCATGTTAACATTTTAAGTTTTTAATCATAGTTGTTATTCGGTATTATTACTTTATCTTTTTTGCTTAATATTTGTTATGATTTGATCTCTCTTAACTAGATTTTATCGATTTAAAGTGATTGTAAAATGTTTGTGAACATTTGAACTAAACTAGAGTAATTAGTGGTGTTTACCTTTATTAAGAATAGGAATAGAGTAAATGTTAGTAGTCATTCATAAACTCTTGTTCTTAAAATTGGATTTTTGATTAAACTATTCAAGGAATTGATAACTTAGTCAAGAAACTTAGACTCTACCTTGTAAAGGATTAAGATTGAGTATATTTGTGAGTTGAATTTTAATTTATGTTATAATTGGATTAAAGCTTGTGTTGTAAGCACAAAAAGATAGTTTGGTGAAGATGAACCCTCAACATATTTTATTATTTTGTTAAAATCAACTTTTTGCATTTTTAGTATTCGTGTATATATATATATATATA